TTAGGTTTTACCTAACCTTTTGGGGCTTGCACTCTCCATGACTTGCACCTTCCTCCTCAGTATCTTTAATTACAGATAGGAAAAGGGCAGCTTTACCCACTTAGTACAATACTAAGTAGTTACTGATTAATAAGTTCCTGGAAAATTCACAGTGCAAACAGGGATTAGTTGCACCAAGCTTGGAGACTGAAGAAATTAGACAGACAGGTAGTATCTGTTCATTGTCAAAGTGATGGGTTTTTAATGTTTAATCTGGGTAAGTATATTTTAATACTCAAAAGATACAAGGTTATAGGTCAAATAGAGAATTTGTAAAAATAAGGAATATTTCATGTGCAAAATCATTCAGGATCTGATAAGTGTAAAAGAAGATTGCTTTTTCCTGAACATTTGTTCATGGGCCAAGAAGCTGCAAATTATGCAATTTGATATACATTTTGTATTAAGTAACAGTTGAATATTATCCAATACAGGCTGATCTTCTGGGGGAAAAAAAAAAAAGTGCATGCAGCATTATTATCAAGAGAACTGTTTCACAGATTTTTTTTGAGTCTTCATTCTGAACAATTGCTATCAGCCATAAAATTGCGCTATTACTATGGTTAGCTTCATGTTTGAGGCCAACCACATAGAACCATAAATGTGGCTGGTTGAAATATTGAACAATTTTCCCAGATTCTGGCTAATCATATAGCTGCGTGGAGACACTTGGGAACAGAAAGTACAAGCATCTTTGTTCTCCATAAGCTTTGACATCGCTTAAAAGTAAAGCTTTAACCTGATAGGAGGTTGGTGTGGAGTCAGGAGTATACTGCAGTGACACCTGGTGTTTAAAGTAGAATTAGTCCCTGTGAAGTGTGGCTGACAATTTACTTTTAATTGGGTACATATTCACTCAAAGACTCCCAGTTCATCCTGTGTTCATGGAGCATAGCATTATGTTGAACTACAAAGCATTGGAGCTAAAGAGTGGCTTGACATTGCTTCGTAGAAAATGTGTCTGACAGATTTGTTTCAAAAGCCCAAAACTACAGTGACATGATCTTCCTAGCACTGTAGCTGGCAAGATACTTCAGCATTACTTCTTCTCAGTTGGCTATTACATAAATGAGATTGACCTTTCATATAGCTCACACGACTGGAATTTCTGTGCAGCCTTTGTGGAAGGACTGATAGGCAAGAACAGAGAACTGTCAGTTCAGGCAGAAAACAGGGATCCTGTGTGTGTCGTGGTGCTAGAAAGCATATTAGAGCTACAATAGATTCTTCTGAAACAGCTCCTGCTAAAGAGCCTATTGACCAAAGTAGTCAAGACCTGCATATTTACAGATGTGACAGAAATGGCATGTAAATCCCATTATCACTTAATGTAATTAAGGATTGTTAGGATAATGTAATATAATTCATTATCATGTCATTATTATTCATTATTATTCAGGATTTCAGTTTGCCACAAGATGAAATAAAAAATAAGAAGATCTGGTTGCAATCTCTAATTTGGACTGATGAACTATTTTTATTATGCAAAAGGTTTGTGTCACCTGTTTTGAAAACCACATACATGCTCCACATTTATGTAGTTAATCTTAAAATCTGGCAAGGACAAAACTCTAAGGCTAGCATTCTGGTTTTCCTTTATGCCACAAAATTCTGTTAAGGGGTTAGCTGAGCTACAAAAATCAGATTATCCTAAAAGTCACTGGTTTTTTCTTTCCTTTATTTTTCTGGAAAATTATGGGAGCCTGTAAAAACAAGCAAATAAACATGAACAAACAAATAAACATGAACTTCCTAAGGCTGCACTAAGGCTGCATGTCAACCAGCAGAGAGCCAAGCCTTGTCCAGCAGATTCTTGAAGGTTGGCACTCAAACTAGCATTCAGAGGTCTTCCTAATTTCTCACCTGCAGCTTATTTTCAGTAGCAAAGTACAAAGGAAAAAGGGTCTGGACAAAATGAACTCTGGATGGGTTCTGAAGGAAGCAAACAGCTGCTGCTCCAAGTAATGGAATGAATCTTGCAACCCAGCACCAGAACCAGCACTGTGCTGTTTCCAGGTTAGAGGGCTGAGGCTGTCACAGACTGGAGGACAGTTATCAGTAGCTTGTCATTAAAACACATAGTTCCTTGAGTACTCCTTCAGGTAATTTTGGAAGATAGGAGTGACATTTGCTTTCCCCCCAGTTTTCATGCACCTCTCCAAGTCATCATGATCTTCCAAAGATAATCAAAATGCAATGACATGAGCCAGCTTCCTCAGCATTTCTGGGTGCATCCCACTGGGGTCCATGTCCAGTTTGCTTAAGTATTCTGTAACCTGATTCTCTTCCACCTCACTTAAGTGTTCCTTCAAACTTTCCCCTTGTCTCCAGGTCCTTGGATTGCTGAAGGCAGGTTTTTCTAGTAGAAACTGAGGTGAAGAAGGCATTCAGTACCTCAGCCTTTTCTGTGTCCTGTGTCACCAGGGCCCCTGCCACCTTCAGCAACAGCAGGTTCACATTTTCCCTAGTTCTCCTTTTGTAACTTACATAATTACAGAAAGCCTTCTTGTTGGCTTTGACACCCCTCACCAGATTTAATTCGGGTTCGTCTTTGCCTTTCCTGTGTTTTGCCCGCTTGGATAGCATCTCTATATCCTTCACAGGTCTCCTGTCCCTGCTTTCACCTTCTATATACTTCATTTTTGTGTTCTAATCTTGCCAGAAGCTCCTTGTTCATCCATGCAGGTCTCCTGGCATTTTTGCCTGACTTCCTGCTCCTTAAGATGAACCCCCGTTGACCTTGGAGGAAGTGAAGCTTGAACATCAATCAGCTTTCTTGGATCCCTCCAAAGCCTTTGGACTCTTTCAAGCAGATACCATAGAGCCACCTCATTCACCAAATAAGAGGATTTCTGGGAAAAAGTAGTATTGTGACCTTATTTGCAATGACTTCAGTTGCTCGATGAGGTCTGGGGTTTTTCCCCACAGAAACTGTCTCAGTAGGTGTAAGCATAAAAATAGCACAAACCTGTATGAAGTATGTGAAGGTATTTGTAAATCTGAGGTTTCTTTCCCTCCAGATTTTGCAGCTTAGGTAACACTTGAAGGTTTGGTACATGATTGAAAGGTGTTGATTGCCACTTGTCTGTGACATGTCTGCAGCTGACACTAATAGACTGATAAGTGGAAGGATAAGATGACAAGGATCCCGACCTTTATCATTTGCAGCTAAAATACTCATTGGGCAGATGAGTGCAAAGAGATGAGTAGGAGTAAAGTCCATTCTCTGCTGTTCATTGTAACAGTTTTTTTATGATACTCTAAACAGTAAACTTTTTTCCATGGCTCCCACATTCCCACTAGGTCCTCCTGGGTTCATCTGCAGTGTTCTCCAATACCCGTGGTGTTTGGCAAGCCTCCTAGCCCAGGCACAGCCTGCTTCTGCAGCCCAAGTTACCAGAATATACAGTTGGCTCTGGCACATGGGAAACATCCCCTGAGCTGCCTCAGCACAGCTCCAGCCTTGGTCCTGGCAGGTCCAGCTCCAAGCCTCAGCTAAGGAGCCTGCGCAGAACCACACAAGCCCATGGAGCTCCTATGCCTCTGCACCAGCACTGCAGTTTGGCCACAACCTAGGCAATTACCCCACAAAAGGGAGATAAATAGGTGGGTGTATTTCTTTAACTATGTGTATGCATGGGTGTCAAGGGGAGAGGAGAAGAAAGAGCATCACAGGTTTGAGATCACATAACTTCCCTTGTCAAAGCTCTTCTTATGCACCTTTCCCCTTCAAACTGTCCAAGCAATGGCCTATAGTGAAAACTGGCTGGAAATTCAAGACAGAAAGAATTCAGGTTGTTTGTGGTCAGTTGTGTGGTTCACAGAACAAGACAGTTTGGAAGAGAGAACTCTCCCACTGGAAATGTGTGAGCTGGAGGCAACACCACCATGTGGTGCTACAGCAAGAGGAACCCCTTTACAAAGAGAACATGGCCTGGGGGTTATTCTGTGCTTTTCAGCCACATATATGACAAAATTAAAACCAAAATTACCATCTTGGTGCCTCGGGTGGCTGTACAGGCACATTCTTAATAAATTAAGTAATTTCAGGTTAATCTAAAAAGACTCCTTCAAAATACAAATTATTCCTTTTTGGACCCAAGCTGAGCAACTTTCTGTTTGCTTTGAAAAAAAACCAAACCCAAAACACTTCAACATGTATGGAGGATACTCGTGAGGCTATTATAGCCCTAGATGGTTACCAAAAAGTAAGAGCTGAGTCTTTGGGTCCCCTGCAGATCTAAGGGAATTAGATAACTTCAAAGGAGTCTCTAACAGGCCATGTACTGAGAACAAACTGCTTGAGGTAGTCACTGAGGAACACAGGGATGATATCAAGGGTTTGCTCACGCAATGTAGGATACGCAGGTACTTCCTGGCAGTCATCTTTCACAGACACAAACCATTCCAGTATGTTCTGACAGCTTGTGTCTTGAAACCTGTGTGTTGGGTGAGATAATGACAACTACTATTTGCAGCATGAAAAAATTAGCCCGAAGAAATACTTAGCACATGTTCTCTTCTGGAGAAGTGCAGTATGAACTCATTCAGAGCCTAAGCAACCATGACCGCATCCGTATGGGGAGCACATGTCCTTTCAGTTAAACACAGCTCTATTTGTGCACCATTGCCCTCTTGGCAAATCTGCATAAATCCAACACTTTAAAGCATGTGTCATCTCTATTATAGTATGGTGGAAAATATAAAGTGCTGGGTAACTTTAGGCTGCATTCAGAACTGATTCAGAGGAGTGCTTGAGCTCATTTGAGATTAATATCTGGTCAGGCCAGGATATCTCTCATGGATAACACTGATGTCCAGATTTCCTTTTGGTATTTCAGAAATAACAACAGAAACTGCATCTGGAGGGATTTGTCTCCAGTGATGCACATGCAATTTTCATACTGCAGGAAGAAATTGCAGCACTGACAGCCACACGGTGCCATTCGAAGTGTAGTTAATTCATGATTAAGCTAATTAATTTGTTCCTATGTAAAGTAGATTTGCATCAAAGCAAAAGAATGAGAATGCTATCACATCACAAGGGGTTCTTGCTACTTATTCTTCACAGACACAGAGATAGTTTAAGGCAGGTGAAAAAAATTACAGGAATTTTCATCAGACAGACTTTGCCAACATCTTCCATGTTACTACACTCAGCTTGCAGATTTGACACCAAAGGCCTTTCAAGTAAGTGCTCTTGCATGTTTGCTTTTCCTCACCAAACAGAAAATGTTCTCTTTTTCCTAGAAAGCTTCAAGCCTTTGGCATGATTGGCTCTGAATCCATCAGTGGTTTCCACAGGGTCCAGAACTTCAAATACTCTTCTTCCTTGCATGCAGGTTTTGGGGCCCTCTCCTGTTTAATTTATGAATTGTACTCCCTGTTAGGGCAGAAATAAAAACCTTGTCATTAAATTGCCTAATTGCCTGACTCATTTCTGTCTCTGATGAACAGATTCAGTAGCAAAAGGCTGTGAAGAGAGGCAACCCCCAGAATCCATGAGCTTGGACAGCTTTAGCATACTTACTGTTTATACAACATGCATCCACTTGTAGGAACAGCCACTAGTGAACAGCTTCTGTTCCTGCTCATTTTACTGAGTAAGATTTGTTCTGCAAAGGACGTGCCCCTCACTCCCGTGACCACAAAAGAAGGCATGTGTCCCAGAGACAATTTTGGACCAGCATGGGTATCCAGGAAGATTGCCAAGTGTTCTGTTCCTAATGGGAAGAAGGTGGGTACTGCAGGGTACAAGAAACTCGTATTGTTTGTGCCTGATGGGGTGGAAGAGCCAGAAGGGGAAGAGAAACGATGGGAGACAGAATGCAGTTGGGATAATTTTCATTTCTAAGACTGCAAAGCTGAATTTCAGTCTTGGGATCTGGCAGATACGCAGGGCAGCAAGCACCCTCCATACAGATGTCTCAGAGTTCCGTGAGGTTTTAAGTTCAAAACAGTGACTTCAGCATTCAATAGCCCTGGCAAGCATTAAGAGGAAAAATTTGGCATGTGTTAAGGATCTCAAAGAGAGGGGGAGGGAGACTGCTGCCAAAAGCTCTCCATTTTGAACTTAGTTTTTCTCAGAAACTCAGTTTCTATTGCTGTTCATTAAAGCTGCAATTTCTATACCTGAGGGGAAAAAGGAGGCAAAGGATAGGGAGAGAAAGAGGCTCTTAATTTTGAACAACTGTTCACTCTTGCATTCCCACCCTTAGGTTTTTGATGGTACATTCTTAATTGAAATAATTATTGACTATGCTTCTCAACTTGAGTTTTGGTTTAGGCAGTAACAAAAGGCATTTTTGGCAATTAGGCTTAATCTAGAAACTGAAAACAAAGCTCAGTGTTTCTTAAAAACAAACAATGTTCCTATTGTTTGCTAAAGGAGGTTGTTTTTTTTTCCTCTGGTGCTATTTTGAGTTCTAACATGTCTATTGTACACAGGCTGGAGCGTTCACTCTGGTTGTTTACAACAATTTTGCTAGTGTTGCCAGGCTTTTCTTCTATGAAGCATAATTTTATAGGCAATGTACAAAACAAGCTGCAGTGTAAATAAACTAAATATGTGTGAAAAGTGTTGGCTCAACACCCCTCAAATTTGTCTCTAGCCCTAAAACTGTCATGAGGGCATTAAACACTCATGACAAGTTGAAAGCACAGTAGGTAACTCCTTGGATTACATTTTAAAGGATTGTTTCACTTGTGCAAATTTGGAACTAAAAATATTTCTCTAATTTCCGTGTCTTTAGGGCAGTCTTTTGTGGCTGCCCAGATTTCATTTTGGGTCTGCTGAGCTCACTTGAAAAAATTCAACAGCTGTTGTTGCTACCAACATGCCTGAGACCACTGATTTTAGCACTGGAAGGAGACTTTTTTGGTGCAATAGCTGGAAACTGTTTTTCTGGGGCAACCACATGTGGCTGACCACAGCTGGGAGCTAACAGGAGATAGAAGCCCTTTGTACCATTACATCTTATGTTCTACACAAAAGGTCTATCTCCTGCACTTGATGCACACCTGGGACAGCCACATGGTCACAGGCCGAAATCAATGTTTTTGACTCTTATAAACCTTTGTGGGAATGAGTTAAACACTACAATGTCTTACTGTGATGTCGCTACTGTGAAGAAACAAGCAAAAAGTGAAGCAATGGGGAGTGCTCTTATTGCCTCAAAGATGGCTTGGTACATGGCTACAGCACAGCATCCAGACAGCCATGTAATCCATCACACACACACATCAGACAATTTGGCATGTGCATGCAAGTTTATATGCATAACACAAGGGAGACTCAAGAGAAAAACTTTGCACAAAATATTGGAAAAAAATACTTAAAGCATTCGGTTATATATAAATACTTAAAGCATTCAGAATCATACAGTTATATTGCAATTTCTCCCTATTAGATTAATGATCAAAATCAGAGGTCAATGAGAGGAGCTTGTGTCACCCTGTGCTGTGCCCCTTTTCACAACTGTCACATGCTCATTCCTGCAAGCCTGGGGACAGCCACTGAAATCCTGGCTGACAGCTATGGCACAGACACATTTTCACTTCCTGCCATAACCAGACTGGTGTAAAAGTTAGCCAAGAGACACAGCTCTTGTGAATGGGTGTCTCATCTCCTCCACATGCTGAGGCACACCTTCCCAGCATCAGTGAAAAATCTGACTCAAATGCGCCACCACAAGTGGGCAAGAACTCTGTCACATATTTAAGAGCTAGGAAATTTGTTACAAATCATTATTAAAACCGAAAGAAAAAAAGAAGGTATTAACAAGGCTTATAAATTTCTCACTAGTATGGATGCCACAGGTAAGGACTGCCCCAACCTGAGCAGACTCAGACTTCTATGCGAGCGGTTTCTGAATGCCCAAAAGAAGTCATTGCTGGAATTACCTTCCTCTGGATCTGAAACAATTAGAATGGCCCCCAAAAAGGTTCAGTAACTCAGAAATGCCATTTTGTTAGACTGTATGACCACACAAGCCATCACAGAATGTAAGATCCCTTTCTATTTATCAGTTGCTTAAGACATGGTTAATAACACTTTCCAGTTTTCTGCTGAGCTGCTGAAAAACTGTGTTCAGGACCTCTGAGGAGTGGCAGATGTAGAGCATCTTAGACTGCTTTGAGAAAGAGGTCAGCTGCACTTGTGACACCTAACATTAGAAAGAATCAGGGCTGCTGCCTGTGGGATTTCCGAAATAGAACATGACCATACGCGACGTGGAACACAGGCAAGATACATCCAAAACTTTATGGATTACTCAAATTTTCTGAAAGGATGCAACACATCCTGTGGTTCCTAGAGGTGTCAGAGGCATTGTGTGTGCTGCATTGCTGATCTGCTCATGTGCTGGATGTAGATGAGTTTGACCAAAAGAAGAGTTGTTTTGTTTAACTCAAATTGACATGGACTTTTCACTGCATGTTTTCTCATGTTAGTCCAGCTTCCTCACCAGAATTCTACTAATCTCTCCAAATGAACACCGGAATTTACTTTCAATATGCTCTTTTCCTCTTCTATGGAAAACTAAGAGGGGTGCTTTGCTTCTGGAGAGGAGAAAGCTTTCCAGGAAGGAATTGCTGAGAATTGCTTGAGGAAGCCAGTGGCCTGCCAAACTGGGGATTTCAAAACTGAAAGAGAAATAGATTCCTCCTCCTTCTCCTTTTTTCTTAATACTAAGTCTAAAAAAGAAAGTTCAAACCATAGTGAGACATATTTTAAGACTTATTTTAAGTCTACTTTTGAGCACTGAATTATTGTATTATTTTTCAATTGTAAGAATTATTCAATTAGCAGAGACCTGGTAAACCAACTTTATTTCTCTAGGTACCACTTGGTGTGGTTAAGCAATACAGTAAAACTGAGACTAATTTGCTGTGAATGCTGGTGCACTAGACCATGAGGCTCCATGTCAGTAGAAAGCTGCATGTGACAAGCAGATTACAGGCTATTTTTTATTGTCAAACTCAATTCTTCATTCAAACAAATACATTGTCAGAACCCTAATTATTTCTGTTAGAAGCATTGCAGCTTGTTATAAAGGGCCATAAAGTCTTTCTCTGCAAATTTTTGATCATCACATTACAATTCCAAACCATTTGTGAAATACACCATTTAATTTACAGCCTGTTTCTCTCTATGTGGGCTCTGATTACAGAATCATCAATCATTACAGAATATTAGCCCTATGATGAACCATGCAGTGGTTGGTTGTTTTTTTTCACTCTGGTCTGAAATTAATGCCATTAGTTTTTTCCTCATTATCTCCTGTTCCGCATAATTGCTGACAGGCAAACTGGAAAATCTTGCCTTTTATTCAATCATCTTGTTTTTTTCAGCAGTGGGAATTTTGGGCAGATACAGTAACAATCCTTCTGGCTTCATCTAGTATTACAAAGTTTCATGGACAGGTTTTAAAATTCTTCATTATCTAGCAAATGTTCTGTGCGTGCATTGGAAGCTGCTTCCCTGACTGTAACTGTGAATGGAATTCAAGTTTGATCAATGGAAAAATTTCAACAGGCCTAGCACCTGTTGGTACATGTCTATGCGCAAAACTTGTGGCTTATAATTATGGTTTGAGGGAAGAAACAGGGAAAACCAGTAATATCTTTTTCCATTGCTGGCATCTTCAGGCCAGGTCAGAACACTGGAATAAAGGTGGCTGGATGATGATTAGAACTCAAGGATTAGAGGGCCATGTTTTTTTTACCCAGAATGGAAATGCTGACAGCTGGAAGATGTTTTAACTAAATCTGCAAAGGTGATGGGATCCCTGTGGAGCACAGCTGAAAATAGGTATGTGGAACCCCTGGGTCTGGTAAAGAAGAGCTGGAGGTGGTCACACTGCAGCAAAATGTCTATTTGAGTACAAAAACAAGAGTCAGTTTTTTAACATTTTATAACAACACAAATCTCACCAAGCAAGATTTACTACATCCCTGGTCAAGTAATGATGCAGGGTGACCTGACACTGCTGGGTGGCAGTTCAGACACCACCTTCAGTGGAACCTTGCCCTAGGTTTAATAGCCTGAGGCCAGGTATCTTTCCTGACCAACATCATGAACAGAAGGTGGAAGTGATCGTGGGCTCACAGCTCAAGCTGATCGGCACTTGGAGCAAGAGAAGTGACAGCAATTCTCTCAGGCAGGCTGCTGCCCCTAAACACAATCTTTGTGGCTTATTGCTGTAAGTGTAGCACAGCACTGACACAGCTCTCTTGAAAGGTTTTTATGCCACCCACTTTGGTTTTGTGTTGCTGATGTCAGAGTGTGTTATGTACAGAAGCAAAGGCCCTGGCTGATCCACTGGATTCATCAGAGTGAATTTGTAATTCCGGGGACAGTACAGGCCTTTGGAATGCAGGTAAAGATACTGAGTAGAACAAATCTTCAAAGATTCACATAGAAAAAGTTTCTGAAATACTATGAATAAATTATATCCTTTGGCATGCATAGATTGGGAGTACAACAGCCAAATCCTGAAGAAGGAGCAACTTCACTGTAGAGAAACTACCACCAAGATAGGTCTATTTAGGTTTTTTTCAACCTTTCTTAATACTTCTCTTATCTATTTTATGTCTGTGTTGGTTGATCTGAATTTTCTGTGAACTGAGCTCTGAACCCTTTTGCTTTTACTCTTAAGGAAGTCAGCTTAGTAAATTTCTTTAGTTTAATAAGGAATTCACTGGGCTCATCTATTTTCTGAAACCAAACCCAGCTTTGGAGATTAATTGCTGTTTTCCTGGAACAACTAAAAGAGAAGTCTACTGCTTGATCTGGCAGCAACACAAGGCTTTTGGAATCTGTCCACTTCTGGAAAATTTAACCCAGTGTTTTTTTAAAGGTTTATCACCTTCTGTCTCGTATATCAAGATAAAGTAATACTCCTTGTCTTAAGAAATTTTCAGGAAAGAGAAAAAGACTGACCAACAGTCTTTGAGAAAATTTTTAATTTGTAATTTCTGGATCCTGCTTTATTATACAAGGTTTTGTCAATGCATTGACAGAAGCAATATGATAAACATCAATATAAGACATTGTTTAGCCACAAGGTATTTCTTAGTAATATGAATGACAATAAACCCCAAACTGCAAATAAAAGCAAAGAGATGAAGGAGAGTTGTATTCAAGGATTAAAACCACAAACAAATGTGTTTATGTATCTCAAAGCAATGACATATGAGTAAAGAAAAGTTTTGAATTTAAACCCTTTTGAATTAAATGGAGAATCTAATAGCAATGGGAAGCACAACTACTAAGGTATTATCCATTCAAAGGCAGGAACATGCATGAAAATTACTATTAAATCCATTGTCACAAATGTTTTTGAGATCAGTGAAGCAGAGATATTTAGTGACTTGGCATTGCTGAAAACCCACTAATCTCCATGAGCAGACTGAGATTCAAAGCAGACCAGAGAGCAACCCATTGTTCATCATAATAAAGAATTTGCTGTATTCAAATGAAGTCACAGCAAAGTGGATGCGTGCCAGTGCAGCACCAGTGTTCCAAGAGAAAGGCAAGCTTGGAAATTATAGACCCTTCATCTCAATGTCTGCAATTTGCAAAATAAGGGGTACAACCGAGGAGAACATTTGCAAAATGCATGTGCAAAGGAATATCATTCTCTGTAATCTACTTGTAGATAAGTAGCAAGATGGGTGGTGTCAGTTAACTAATCTTTTTGAAAGAACTATGCTACACTTTAGTTATTAAAATTAAAACACTCGAAATAATAATAATGCATGTATCAGGCTGTTCATCTAATGCTCTGTGGCAAAAGAGGTTAATTCTCCTCTAAAATCAGTGCTGCTATTCTATAAGAACTTGACCAAAATGGTACTCTAGGTCCCAAGTCTCCTAAGTTTGGGTTTTGCACATTGCTGAACTGAGCAGCACAAAGAGTAATGTGACCACGAAATAGAGACACAATAGGAAAATGATCCAAACTTTTAACAACAGCTATATCAGGTATCTTCAGTACACTTACCTGTGTCATGTGTAATTATCCCAAGCCTCTTTTACAAGGGTGTCTAGTCCTCTCATTCTCTGTCCCAGTAAGTTGTCCATCAAGAAGAGTTGTGTTCAAGGAGAAATTGTGAAGAAACAAGTATTAGAAACAAAATTCTTGGCTTCATACACATCTCTGCTATTATCCACTGCCTTGGGTCTAGCCTCCCATTCCTACTACTTGATTCCCCTGCCCTTCCACTCTTCTTCTACTGTCCTTCCTCTGTGACTAGAACCATCCATTCCTGTTCCTTCTTTTCTTTGTTGTGCTTCCCTGAGCTGCTTCACTCTGCCTTTGTTTTCCGCTTTTGTGTTTATCCAAGTAGCATGTTCCAAATTACTAACTCAGACAAGGCAGTAGATGCTTCATTAGCTCTAGCTCAAATGAAACTCTTTTTCTTGTCATCTACACCAAACTTGTGCATCGTGTTAGCACCTTTTGGCCAATATACCTTCAATACCAATAAGACAAAAAGCCTCCAGGAAAACTCGTGCTGGCTTCTCCCTCTGCTCTGCTCCTTCCTGCTGCTCCACTCCTCCCTGACTTGACAGTTCATCTAAATGGAAAAAAAAAATTATACACAAATAAGTTTGTTCCATAAACACTTGAACCCTTTGTATCTAGTAACATGATAGTACCCGCAAGGCCTTCTTTTTGCTTACATAAATCATAGATTAAAATACAACACACGTCTACCAAAGGAAGCCAGCAGAACAGAAGAACTGAAGTGTTTTTAAACAAAGCCCAACCATTTAAAGACCAAAAAATGAATTCAAAAGACTTAGAAATTCAAGCCAAAATATTACAGTTGAAAAGATAATTTAAAAACATTAAAAAAAAATAAAAAAACCAAACCAAACCAAAAACAAACCAAAACCCCAAAAACCCCAAACCAACAAACAACAAAACCTTAAAACCCCAGCACTTTAAAATTCAGTTTTGGTTTTACAACATATTCCCTTTGAAAACAAAACCAAAGCTCTGAACCCCCGGAAGAAGAATGAGTGAGATTTGGTAGATGGAACTTAAGGCCTTTTCCTGTTTCCCAGGGGGGTTGCTGCAGTTGAATGGAACTCGCCACAGCCATTTGCTGCGAGCTGGACTGCATTTCACATGAGTGTGTTGCACCGAATCCCAGTGCGCGTTTAGCAGCACACGCTCACACCCGTATTGTGCTGTAACGCTGAAACTGCTCGAGCTCAGATTGTCCCAAGCGCGTTCACGGCAGAGGGTCCGCGGTTATCAATCATGAGGTGTTACAGATCCAAGTTCGGGTCATTTTACACATTTGCCGATTTCGGAGCTCTTGTATAAAAGTTTCTGAACTTTTTCCCCCCTCAGAGAGGAACATTACAATGGCTTTATTTGGATATTTTTTAAGGAAGCCGAAAGCCTTACACAACACTCCGACGTGTAAGCAGCGGGGGCTTTACGGTGTTTATTTATAACCCGCTGCGGCACCAATTATTGCAGAGCCAGAACCGCACGGGGCCACGGAGAAGGCCAGAGCGGAGGCGGCGGCCGGCGGGAGCTGCTCGGAGCCGGCACCAGCGCCCGCCTCCAGCCCGGCGTAAGACACACGCAGCAGCCCCCGCTGCCGGGACACGGCCCCCTTCCCCGCCGGGGCCCAGCCCTCGGGCCGCCCCTTCCGCGGGCCGGCCGGGCAGGGCCGTCCCGGCGCCGCCGCCGCGCTGCCCGCGCCCCTCCCGCGCAGCCGGGCGGCCCCGCCGCGCGTGTTTACGCGCCGCGCTCCGCCGGCAGGAGCTGCCGGAATCCGAGGCAAAAGCCGAACAGGATCGCGGGCGGGAGCATGGAGCGGGGGCTGCCGCTGCTCGGCCGGCCCTCAGCGCCCGGGGGCGGTGCGGAGAGCGGCCCGTCACCAGCGGCGTGACGGCGAGGGGCATGGACCTGGCGGGGACAGCCCGCTTCCGTGCCAGTCCTCTTCGGTTGTGCCTGCCCAGCTCCGAGCTGTGTGGCTTGTTTGTTTACTCGGGGTTTTTCTTCGTGGAGGAGAGCAGGGTGGGAGAGGCAGGAAGAGGTCGGCCGCGTTTCCACATGGAGAACGGGACGGCTTGATCCCGAAGGAGGACGGACGAGTAGAGCGGAACTAACAGTCTGCTGTGGTCTCGTTCCTTTCAGGGAAAAACGGGCCGTCAAAACTGTCCGTATTTCTGGGCACTCCCAAGAAGTTGACTGAGGAGTTACTCCAGAATAACTTATATTTTTTCAGAGAGCTTTCCTGAAAAAACACCAGAACAACCAAACGCAACCAAACAAAAAACTGCACCAGCACCAAAAATTAGCTTTTATGAAGCACTACACTCACTAGAAAACAGGGACTTGTGCAACACAGAAAATATCTCCTACCTCTCCAGCTAGTGAACTGGCTTGCAGCTGATTGATGTTGGAATCTCTGAGGTGTGGGCAATCCTCAAGTTACCTGGCTATTTGGTGTTTCCCTTAAATTTTGCTTAGTGGTGTTCACTTGGAGCCTTGTCAGTGTGGTATGCAAGTAAAAAAATGTGGAGTGCCTTTTTTCAAAGGAAAGTATTCATCTCTAAAATAAAGAACTTATGCAAATAAAACTATAATGTCTTATTATCCTATGATAATAAAAATAAAATTGTACCTATTGCTTAATTTATTGGTATAAATCGTTTTATTGCTGGTGTTCACTAGCAGTTATGTAGTTTTTGTTCTTGCTTTCACAAGATTTATAAAGGAGTTTCCATGTAAAGAGTGAGTCTGAAAGAAGTTTTATGGGTCCTGTAATATTTATGTTTTTCTGAGTGTCCAATCTAATGTGTTCATTTTGAAAGGAAAAGCTAGTTATTTTCTTTGTAATCGCTATCTCTGCAAATTCAGCTTTGACTTTTAGAATCAGAGTTCTTTGACACTTCACTGAGAAAGAGGAAGTTGACATGCTAATTTGCAGGGGAAGTTCCACCTGAGTTAAGAATTAAGACAATTAATGAATACATTTGCTTAAAATAGCATTTCAATTATCATCTTTCATTTCCTGTATCCTTCCTTTAATTCTGGTGTCATTTCAGGGATTGTTATTCACACACATTGCTGTTACCCCACATGAATGAGCACAAACAACATAGAAACTCCCTCAAATATCTTTGTGTGTGCATGTGTGTCTGAGTGGAAGAAACCCCCAACTACATATATATGGTTATTTCTGTTTTGTGCTAGAACATTTGCACTTCAGAGGCCTATGTGTCTTGTGTGTCTGCCCTCACTGCAGACTCTTAGGGTTTTTTGGTACTCCACTGCTTTTGTTCAGAAAAAGCGTTTTCTTTCTCTGCTTGCTTTCTTTTCCATGTTCAGTGAGCTAATTAAGTGGGGAAATGTTAGTCTTACCTTTTTCAAGTTCATCCCTTTGTTTTTCTCAGTCTAGTTAATTTGTAAAAAGGGGAACCGTAGTCATTGTATTAGCTCTAGCATGAAAGTCCAGTGAGCTGACCTCTTTTTCAGGGGAGGAACAAAACCTTTTAAGAAACATAAACATGTAAATTGTGTTAAAGTACTAATGGCAACAGGAAGACCTCTGGGGAGGGGTTTTTAAAAAGTCATGCAAGTCTGGTTGGTGTTTATCCTCTCACAGTCCAAGGATGGACTGTCTGGAATTCTTTTGTTTCTGTACCAGTAAGGTTATTTAGACCTAGTCAGTATTTCAGGGTGGTAACTGAAAAGTAATGTCTAATATCTGGTGAATTTTTCCACTTCATTCCAACGCATGGCTGGCACTGGGACCTCCTTCACGCAGAAGGCACAGCCTTGTCTGCAGGGTGGCATTTTCCTGCACAACAGCCAGACGCAGAAGTGACCCCGTGCTCCCCACTCCGCTGACAAGTGGGGCAGAGGCGTGTCACAGAAGCGATGATTTCGCCTACTGAGAAGGGGGTCGGAAGGTTGCCACCTCTCCTTTTGAGCAGCATCTGGTAGACAATTTTCTGCCTAATGTTGTCAATCATTCCCTTGTTCTTGAAGGTGCCTGGCTGTCCTCCCAGCTGGAGTGAGAACTTCAATGATCACTAGAAAGCAAAACAAATGCAAAGTTTACAAAGGGAGTGTGGAGAAGGCAGGTCCCCGAATAAAGAAGTTGGCAGGGGCTCAAATGCCTGGCTTTATGAGGAAAATGGAACACACACACAGTTAATGCACATGCTGGTTTGAATACCAGAGCTCAAACAAATACATTTGTTGCACATTAAAAAGTAAAATGTGAATTACTCATTGATTAGGTTGTATTTGAAAAAAATGTGATTAAATGTGCAGTAAATGGAGGGTTTCTTTGTTTTGTATTACTGCTAGATTTTTTTAAGGCAAGAACTGAAGCATAGCATCAGCCTGGGAGGAGGCAGGAGCAGGGGGGATATTGCTTCTAGTGATAAAAAGCTGGCATTCATGGATAAGGGGAAAAAATATCCAGATATTAAAGAAAATAACAAGAAATGTATTCTTTCATTGAAGGCATGGGGGAAAAGAGAGTAAAAGAAAAAAAAAAAAAGGAGAGCTAGCTGAGGCAGGATTCGGGGTGGCCTGCTGTGATGTAGCCACCTGCTCCTATGAGGCAAACTAAAGCACACCCCTACTAGTGCTTATTGGCTGTGCCTAGTGCTCATCCCTGCTGGAAGCTGCATTGCTGAGTGATGGTCCCTGGTGGAAGCAGTTCTGAGACCACCGAGCAGGGAGGTTACAGAGTAGTGCCTTCTTCAGCATTACAGAAAAATCTCTGCTTTTTGAAGTCAAAGGAACTTGTTCCCTTGATGTGATGTCAGGCAAGCTTTGCCTGCAGTCATGATCACAGTAGCAGCTGCTGAATTGAACAAAATGTCAAACAGATCAGTAAATAATTATATTAAAATTCGAGTAATACTTAACTGAACAATGGACTAAAGGAAATGTTTGTGAAAAATATGTATCATAAGACAACTCCACCTGATGTTAATCAGCACAGAGTAGTTAAGGATGTGCTAGGGAAAGCCAGATTTTTTTCTGTGGCTAGCGCAAAGAGCTGCTGAGTGTGTATAATGAAAGAAGTTAGACGATAATTATTCAAGATGAACTGAAAAGCTGTCAGTGTAATTCAGTTTCACTTGCTCTAGAAGAACTTCTAGAGGGAGATAGATATGCTTATATGTACTTATTCAAATTGTCTCACATGTTTTTAGAGAGAAATTTCATTTTTGGAAGTATGAACTGATTGTTAAGGTTAGAGGCAAAGAAGCATCTGAAACATTTTTGCTGTGTTGGAGAGCTGTGTACACAAAGGGAGTGTGGATGTGCACATTAACTTTTAATAAGCTTGAAATCATTGACATGCAAACAGCTCTTATTCCAGCCAGAGCCTGTACTTGCATTAGAGGCATATTATGCTGTGGTACAATCATGAGATATCTCTGTTGAGCTAAGTGATACCATATTCCCCCATATATCACAAGAATTTACTTCGTGTGAGGCCATGGCTAAGAGGCCAGAATTGTTCAGCAGATCACCCCAAGAGTGCTGAGTCCCAGGCAAAAAATGTTGATGTGTGATAGTG